TAATTCTTCTCCATATTTATCTTTTTCCTATGCAATTCTACGGTAGTGTCTTCATCATCTACATCAATTGTGATATTAGGTTGGTACATAATAAAGAACAAAAGATAAGAAAAGAGTCTAGAAATATATTAGGATTTAATTGGATCAATCAAATTATATCATTATTCATAATTGATATGCATCAGAGACAAAATGTGTTGACAATATTAAACTATAAAACAGACTATATGGATGCTCTAACATAACTTTTTTAGTGTAAGCAACCATCAAGATTAATTTTAAAAATCTCTTGGGTCAGGAATAAACAACTAACAAGCTTGCGGCGGAAGCTAGTGGAATGTAGTACATTCTTAAGAAATATTAATCTTTATTTAATTTCTTCATAATGACAGGATCTCATTATTAACTAACTACAAGGCCTGGTACATTGTTTTTTTATTGGGCGTTCAAGGCAGGCAGAGGACACAAGTGAGTACTCATCACAATGAATATTATACAATTTAAGTATAAAGGAAAAAATGAAAGTTGATCAATGGTGTAGTTGGTGGTGGGGTTAATTTGGGTATATAAATATATTATAGATGGAGATGGAGAATGGTGGTTTTAAAAATAGTAGGTCTGTGTGGGTAATTAATATGGCTTTTGTTTGTGCGGTTTTCTTCGTTCATTTTCAATATATATGTGGTCCTATGGATATATGTAGCTATAGTATTGTTACTCTCTTTTGGATTTCTAAAAGAGTTTGGGCGTAAAGAAAAAAAATTAAATTATCTAATCGAGTTAAAGCAGAATCATATAAGTTAACCTCATACATGAAATTTATTTTAACCAATACTCATATGTAAGTATTACAATTGGCATTGAGATCTAAGATACGTATGAGATTCTCTTTAACTTTTGTACAAACAATATTTATTTAAATCATAATAGTATAATTAAACTTTATGATCTGAAAAATAGATCAAACATACAATATAGTTAATTGCCTTAAAATAATCTAATATAATCTAAGAATAAAGAAAGTAGATGAAAGTGATGTGAAAATTATTGCAATTTCATAATTCATAATTTTTAAAAATCTAATAAGAAGAAAATAATAAAGGCACATATCTATTGAAGGAGATAAAAGCGCTGTGAAAATTATTATAATTTCTTGATACGAAAAAAAGATCAAACATATAATATAATTAATTGATTTAAAATAATCTAATATAATAAGAAGAAAATAGACGAAAGTATTGTGAAAATTATTGCTATTTCTTGATATGAAAAAGAAGATTGAATATGCAATATAATTAATTGCTTTAAAAATAATCTAATCTAATCTAATAAGAAGAAAATATTAAAAGCACATATATATATATAGAAGGAGGTGACAGTGCTATGAAAATTGTTATAATATTTTAGCTTATATATATTAGTATGTGATATTGCATGTGAGAGGATAACAATTGTAAATAGAGTTCTATTTATATAATAATAGTATAATTAAACTTTGAGACTAATTATGCACTACGGTAAACTACATGGATTTTAGTTGGTGAGAGATCGCCACGCTGTGTCCTCATATCGCAACTGTTTGTTTTAATTATTTTTTATAATTTTAAGAATGATCTTGTCTCTTTAATTTGTTTAGTGGATTTTGCAGATACTATTTCCACATTTTGCATATTTGTAGCTCTGTATTGCTCCTGGGCTCGATCTTTGGGGTAGACACTATTTTGTCTCGTTAATTTGTTTGGTTTATGCATATACGCTCTTCATTTTGTATACATTTGTAAATTTGGCATTTAATAATTTCATTCAGTTTTACATTTCAATTTAAACTATATCCTTATCTACATATTATATATATCCAATAAGAATTCATCGATTTATCAACTTACTCTTACTTAATGAATTAGTATTTGAATGTTAAGGGTAATTTTGTCTATCGAAAGATTTTCCTAAACTCATGCTTTTAAAAAGAATATATATATATATATATTATATATATATATATATATATATATATATATATATATATATATATATATATATATATATATATATATATATATATATATATATATATATATATATATATATATATAAACTTTGAGACTAATTATACACTACCGTGAACTACATGAATTTTAGTTGGTGAGAGATCGCCACGTTGTTTCCTCAGATCGTAGCTGTTTGTTTTGATTTTTCTTTTTTATAATTTTGAGAATGATTTTGTTTCTTTAATTTTTTTGGTGGATTTTGTAGATACTCTGTCCACATTATGTACATTTGTAGCTCTGTACTGCTCCTCGGCTCGACCTTTGGGGTAGACACTATTTTGTCTCGTTAATTTGTTTGGTTTATGCATATGCGCTCTTCATCTTGTATAAATTTATAAATTTGGCATTTAATAATTTTATTCAGGTTTATATTTTAATTTAAACTATATCCTTATCTACATATTGTTAGGTCTCATGTTATGAGCTTATATCTTCTAATCTTGTTTTGATGATTACAAACAATTCCTAATATTGTTTGTCTAGTGTTTATGTTTCTTATTAGGTATTCTAGACAAACAATATGTTGGAGGATGGATGGAATAGCGCATTCACAATCATACCTAATGGAGGTTGGCGGAGTAGTGGTTGAAGCCTTGCAATTCATGTTAAAGATCCAAGTCAAGCTTCATCCACAAGTGTACCAAGATAGAGCTTCGTTGAAGATCATCAAGCTTGGGTAATTTAGTTTAGGTTTTATATTATGTGTGTTAGCACTTTAAGCTTAATTATATTCACACATACATGTTTTGGTTTTTGTATATATATAGTTATATATATACATATATGTTTTGGTTTGATTTTTTAGATATGAAACAAATATATATTCATATATATGTTCATATGTTTCATATTCTATCATATTTGAAAATATATTGTGTTCTTGGTTTATGGACTTGATAATATGTTTTTATATCTTTTCCTAAGTCTATAAAGCCATACAAAAGTTTCCAAAAGTTTGTTTATGTCAAATGTCAAAAACATGTATGTTTACTTTTCATGTTTTGGACTAATTTTATAAAATGATGAGTTTTCACTATTAGGGAATGCAATTCCAAAAATTCTTTTTGTAACATGTTTATTATCATGTTTATAAACATTTCCCAAAGTTTCATAATTTTTAGAATTTATTTATTATTTTTAAAGGCACTTTAAAATTCAATTTTCCAGCATTAACAGTGCATGTGCACGTTTATAAGACAAGTCGACTTATGAAATGCTTTGGAATGTGCAAAAACTCTCTGCCAAGTCGACTTATTCGAACTGTTAAGTCGACTTAGACCAAGTCGACTTATGTCATTTTCCAAGTCGACTTATGTGCTGATTTTTATGTGTTATTTCTATCTGGAAAGTCTACTCATGTGAATTTTCAAGTCGACTTATACTAAGTCGAATGCAAGTCGACTTATACTAAGTCAAATGCAAGTCGACTTATTAATATGACCGTTGAACAGTAACGACTATTTTTCAGATCTGTTTTTGTGTGGGTTTTTGGTCATTTCCTTGGGGTTTTGGCTGATGTCTTGGGTTGTTATAAATACCCCATTGCATTTACCTCTCCCACCTAACATGAGAAAAGTTTTTAAGAGGTTTATAAGTTTTGTTTAAAGGTTTAGTGTTTGTTTAAAAAGCTTTTAAGCATTTACAAGAGTTTGGTTTGTGGAGCAAATTTCACAAGAGCAAGTGGAGATCATCCTTGGTGTTTGAGCATTCATTCTTCTCTCTCTCTCTCTTGTCATCTATAGAGAAGTTTCCTTAAACTCAATTCTAGCATTTTATAAGTTTGTTCTTAATTTCATAAGCTAGATTTCATATTGAGTTTATATTGTTTTATCTCTTTGATCACACACAACCTATTGAGCTTATTGTATTTACATTCATAGTATGTTTTTGGGTTGTGGGGTTTGTGACTTAGAGTTGTGCTTAATTGAGTTCTCACCTTGTATTAGAGAACAAATCTTGTATTATGAGCTTTAATTGTGAGGTTCACTTTGTATTACACTAGTACACCAAGAAGAGTGTGTGGTGAGAGACGTGGTTGTCCCAATAGGAGTGGGGTAGGTGATAATGCCTAGAGAGAGGTTATAATTCCTAACACTTGAGGGAGACACGGGCTAGAGACCAACAATTGAGGTGGTAGTTAGTGTAGTTACATTGTGAGTGATTGTAAAGTTTTCGGTGAACTAGAAAACCGAATTGTGAGGTGTAAACGTTGTTCGGGTGAGCGTAGAAAACCCGGTTGTGATAGTGGAGATCTCCTCGAGGTGAGGAGCGGGGACATAGGTCAGGCGGACCGAACCTCGTGAACATATCTTTTGTTTGTGATTGCTTTGACGTTCATTTATATTCGTGCTTATTGTTTATATCGTCTTCGTCAATTGCTTGTTTATATTGTCCACTATATTGTTTCACCCTTGTTTATATTTGTATATCCTTGCATATATATCTTGTCATATATCATACTTGCTAGGATATTGGTTAATAAGTTTTAAATTGGCATAAATCGGATTAGATTAGCATAAACCCTATTCACCCCCTCTAGGGTTCCTTCCTAGCGGCATTAGGGGACTTTCACATATTATATGTATCCAATAAGAATTCATCGATTTATCAACTTATTCTTACTTAATGAATTAGTATTTGAATTTCAATAGTAATTTTGTCTATCGAAAGATTTTTCTAAACTCATGCTTTTAAAGAGAGTATGATATGATATGATATGATCATGCTTTTAAAGAGAGTATGAAGTATGATATGATATGATCATTTGTGTATAGAGAATGTGTTAAAAAATTCTACTTTAATGAATTTATGCCCTTAATCCATTTATTAAAACCCGCTTAATGCGATGAACACTGGGCTACTCGGCCCAATTCACCCAGTAGGTCCGGCAAAACAAATCGAACGGTTCATACTAACCGAAAAAATCCAACGGCTCAAATCTCTCTCATCTCGAAACCCCATACGCTTATAAAGAAAGCCCATTCTCTCCACAGTGGCCGCCTCCGCTCCCACGAAAACCCTAACCAGAGGAGCTCACAAGATCTCCAACCAATGGGTAATCTCTCTCTCTCTCTCTAGATCTAGAGTTTTGCTCTCTCGATCTCTCTCTCATCGCAAGATCCGGTTTTTATTTTGGTAAGGGGCGTACAAGTACGTGTCGGAGCTATGGAGGAAGAAGCAATCGGATGTGATGAGGTTCCTGCAGAGGGTGAGGTGCTGGGAGTATCGCCAGCATCCGTCGATCGTTCGGGTCACAAGGTCGACCCGACCCGATAAGGCTCGCCGCCTCGGGTACAAAGCCAAGCAGGTACAAGATCAGTTGATCTCAGTTCTCGCTGTTAGTTTTGAGTAATTTTGGGATCCCATTTTGTTAATTAATAGATTGGGCTTTTTGTTTATAAACCCAGATTTCCAATTTCATGGATTTTAAACCCAAATGTTGCGACTTAAATACACCAGTTGTAGCAAATTAGATGTTAATATCGCAAGTTAAGCATAGTAAGGTTGGAAAATGCTTCATCGTGTATTTTTGGGTTTGAGAATGATTCTGGAAGTGGGTGGGTTTGGAAATAAATCGGGGTGAAATTTTGGGTTTATAAATGAAAAACCCTTCATAGATTCCTGCGAATGAGTAGTTGGAAGATTGCTTTTACTTGTTTAGATGTCATGAAGTATGTATCTGTTAATATGATTTTAATTTTTATGGTTGATGGGGTTACGTGTCGCCAACAATATATAGTTCTGGAGACCGAGTTGTCTTTTTAGCCCTGCTTGTATTGGGGTAATTTTTTTAATTATAAGATGTTGGGTATGTTCTCGAGAGATTCAAAAGTTGCTATGATAAATCTGTGTAACTGTATCTGAGATTTATTATTTTAGAATTGCTTTATCATGTGGTTTCCTAAATTCTGATCATAGTTGTCTATATCAAACTTGTATTTTTTTTATAGGAAATTCGTCATTATTGAATTATTTTCTAAAGTGCTTTGTCTCAACATGTGTTAGGTGCTTGAAAATTTGTGATGTTTAACATGTTATAGTGAGGAGGTTCTGGCTGATTGCATATGTTTCAGATTGACCCATATGAAAGCTATTAGCTATTTTTTCGGTTTTTTTTTTCATGGGTAAAAGTAAAACCATGGGAAATGTAGCCCCCTACCCTTGAAGTTTTATTTAGAGCCAAATTTCTCTGTTTACTTAGATGAAAGGTGTCATAAGGAAAAGAGGTGGAATTTGCTCCATACAAAAAATTTTGTTGTAATATTCTCTCATGCATAACTTGCTAATTACAGAACATATTAATAAAAAATTATTTATGGCTGCTACCTTCAATGAGAGATAAGAGAAAAGGAGGCGGTTTGAGATTTTGTGTGTATCTAACCATTAAATAAAAAATATCTCTGAGAAACAGACATCATGGGTTTGATCAAAAAAATTTTGGGGAGGAATTGAAGAATGCAAAAGTCAAAGACGATGCTGATTGTGCTACACTTCTGGCCTTGTTTATACTAATATTATATATATATATATTATATTATATTTATAAACTATAATATATATAATATATATAAAATGCTAATTATATATATATATATTATATTATATTTATAAACTATAATATATATAATATATATAAAATGCTACAGTGGTTTACTGCAGCATTTACTACAGCATGAACAATGATTCTTGGGTCCTATGAGGAATAGATGTATTATATTAAATATTATATTAATATAATATTATATATAATATATTAATTTTATATTATATTATTATTGTATAGTATAGCATGCTAATATAATAGTTTTTTATAATTTGGGGATTCAATATCCCAAAATTGGTTTTGAAACAAACATTGTTTATGGAATTCTAAAACCCTCAAAACTTGTAATCCACCTTATATCCCAAAAAAAAGTTGAAACAAAAGGGAAGATTTCACAAATCCTAAAAATATATTATTTTTTTATAATTTAGGGATTCAATATCCCAAAATTAATTTTGAAACAAACAAAGTTTATGGAATCCCAAAACTCAAAAAAAAACACTTTTTACATCCCAAAACTTGAAATCCACCCTATATCCCAAAAAAAAGTGAAACAAACATTAGCCTATGCATTTGCAAGACTCCAATGTTTTACTGTAGTATAAAGTGATAAGGATATGTTATTCACTTCTTTGTTGGCTAGTATGAGAAATGAACTGACATGCTTCTTTGTCGTTTCCTCTGTTCAATAAGTTTTGGCCATTAGTTCAGTCTGTGTTTATCTTTTGCTCAGTATCAATCTATTTTTTTGGGCATGCAATAGAACAAGTTCATGTTTAATTTTTATGCTAGATAAGCCAAGTTGTTCATAGGGGTTCCTTGTTTTATGTGCTCTTACTGATTGATTCAAAGCTATCGTGAGATCTTGTTGGCATGCCTACCAAATGGTGATAAAATAACAGGAAACCCTTCCTCTAACTCCCCGACTGGAAAGACATGCTTAAGAGTGAAGAGTTCCACAAATCATAACAAAAAAAAGTATCGAATTTTATCAACAACTTTCTTTCCTTGATTAGTACTTAAATTCGTATGAACTTAATATTATTTCTTGTTAATTTTTATTGCGTATTAATTGTACTCATCTCTTGGGACTATTATTTAGTTGTCAGCATAACACCCCCTGATGAGTGTTTCATAGTATATGCTTCTCAGGAACCGATCAAACATGATTTGTATGCTTGTATGGAGATGTAGGTGGTCTGTACTTGCATTTCTCTTTTCCAATAAAATGCTATGCCTTCCATAGTATGTACATTAGTGAATGATATATGCAGCAATAAAAGTCACCATATTGTGGATGTGCTGCGAATTGTTTTCTTCTGAAGTTAGCTTCTCTCACATTCGTATTTATACTTGAGATTCTGTTTCTATTCTATAGGGGTATGTGATTTATCGTGTCCGGGTGAGACGTGGTGGTAGAAAGAGGCCAGTTCCCAAGGGTATTGTATATGGTAAGCCCAAGAACCAGGGTATTACTCAACTGAAATTCCAGAGAAACAAGCGGTCAGTTGCTGAGGAGAGAGCTGGAAGGAGGTTGGGTGGCCTTAAGGTCCTGAACTCGTACTGGATCAATGAGGTTAGTTATAATTCTACACCTTTACTTCACTTCTTGTTCTGTATTCTTTCAAGGCTTAATTGTGTATATACCCCTTACTATGACCCAAGCGTGATAGACCCCCTGTAGTTCTATTTTCTATTTTTGCAGATGGACCCTTAAGTTAAATTCATTCAGGCTCTCCATCTGTAACACTAGAACCTTACCCACAGGTGGTCTATCTGCAACTTGGTGATAGCATAAAGGGTCTTTCTGCATTTAAGCCTTCTTTCAATTTGATCGTAATTGCGCGTAGATCCCCTTACTATTTCCCAGCTGCATATAGATCCCCTAAGGGCCTGTTTGGATTTGTAGGGGGTGAAGGGAAATTAAGGGAAACTGAGTGAAGGGAATGGAAGGGAAGGGAAGGGAGTTCCCCTCCCCTTGGTTACACCCCAATTTGGGGGGTAACAATTTTTATACTATTAGGGAGTGAACCAAGGGGAACTAGGGTGAATTAACTTCACCTCCTAAGTGTTCCCAAACAAGGTGAATGGAGGTCAAGGGGAACTAGGGTGAATTAACTTCACCTCCTAAGTGTTCCCAAACAAGGTGAATGGAGGTGAATGGTTCCCCTAACTTCCCTTCACCCTCATTCCCCTCAATCCAAACAAGCCCTAAGTGATTTTTTACTCTTTTATCCTCATAAAAGAGTTTTATTTTTTATTTTTGTTTATACAAATAGACCTGATGGTAAAAGGGTTAAAAAATTTTCAGTCAGGGTCTATCTGCGACATCAGAACTACAGTTTTAGTTTTATTTCATTTCTAACCATACACTACTTTTAGGACTCGACCTACAAGTATTTCGAGGTTATTCTCGTTGATGCAGCTCACAACGCCATCCGCAACGATCCTAGGATCAACTGGATATGTAAGGGTGTGCACAAGCACCGTGAGCTTCGTGGGCTTACTTCGGCAGGAAAGAAGTACCGTGGTCTCAGAGGCAAAGGCCACTTGTACCACAAGAACAGGCCATCTCGCAGGGCAACCTGGAAGAGGAACCAGACCAAATCTCTTCGCCGATATCGCTAGATTTCTATGCTTGGCTGTTTGGTGCTTTTTTGTTTCGACTATTTGAGATACTGTTTTATTTCCAATTTTGTAGGTTAAGCTACTTTGTTGACAGTTCATGAACTTTTTGTCTTTCTTCATATTATGGCTTAATGCACTTGATACTCTTTTCGGTTGATGTGCGCTTTGGTATTTTTTTTGGTTATTGTGTTCAATAGTTCAGTGATTCCTGGAGGTGTGTATACGAGCCAGTGCTCTATAGCTGTTAGCTTAGAAAGTTTTCTTGTTTATATTCTTTTTGTTTGTTTAGCGATAAGAACCGAATGCTATCGGCTGAAAGATTGACGCAGTTTAGGTTCTTTCTTTTCTGCATTAGAATTTTGCCCTCACCTGTTGAATATTCTATTATCACATTTTCATTAATTGTTTTCACTCAAGTTTTTTTTAGATCTATTTGCAGCTCCTTACTCTATTTCACGGGTTGTTTCACGTTGAGTATGCAGCAAGCCAACACGTGATTTTATATGTTTTTCAAACACATTAAAGTTTATTTGGGGTTTGGCGTTGAAGAAATTTGTGGTGTCTGTGTAGGCTTGATCCCTACAAAATATTTATTATGAGAGTTATAATCTGACAACTTTCATATCGACTGATGAAAGTTATAATTTGACGATTTTCATAACAATAGATGATGAAAGTTACAATCTGACGATTTCCACATCAAGAGACGAAAGTTACGATTTGACGACCTTCACAACAGTACATTTCAAAGAGCTGAATACAAAGATTACAAGATGATGATCCTTGCAACACTCGAAAAAAGATATTACAAATTGACGATCTCTTCAAACCAAAATGCGAGGGTTATCCTCGCTTTTTAAGTTCAAAACGCGAAGCTCGCCTAAGCGTTTCAAGTTCAAAACGCGGAGCTTACCTCCGCGTTTTAAGTTCAAAACGCGGAGCTCACTACCGCGTTTTAAGTTTAAAATGCAATCCTCTGTTGGGTTCGATTAATCCAACGAACTTATGTGGCCCAACCTACTCGATTTTGGATTTGATTTAAAGTTGTCATCGATTCAAGTTAGGATCAGGATGCTAACCACATGGTCTGGTTAGATAAGTTTCATGTTTATCAAGTTGGGTGGTTATCTTGAATATCTAAAAGATAGGATCAATCGGAGTGTAATCCCACGATTGTGATTAAACCATGATGGGTAGGGTTAATCACAAATATCTATATAAAGGGGGGAGTCCCTCCTCTCAACCGTATGCAGAAAAGAGACCTAATTCCCATCATTGGCTACGGGAGGAGAGAGGAGAAGACTTCCATTATTTTCGTCGGTGAACGGTAACTTTAATCTGAATTTCTAGTTTAATTATTCATGTCTAGATCGTTAGATTACCCTACAGTGGTATCAGAGCCCAGTTTGTGCATGAATTTTTGATCTAGATTTAAAGTTTTTTCGGATTAATTAAAAAAATTATTATTATTATTATCGTTTTGCATCTGCGAGAAGTTCTGCGGCCATGGCAAGGATAATAATTATTAAATATTTCATTGATTTGCATCTGGTAGAAGTTCTGCGGCGGCCATGGCCAATATAATGATTATTAAAGATTTAATCTTGGTCATTAGCTTCAAAAAAAAAAAATCAATCTCCGCCATGGCTGCTCAACCTCAGCCGCAGCAAAGATTAAAAAATATATATATATATATATAATAATATTCAACTATCTTGCTGCTGATCTCTCTCCACACCGTCGCCATGAAGGTTCTAATTTGTCTTCAACCATGGCTGCTCCTCGCCATGCCACGCCCTCTATGCACGCGCTCTCTCTCTCTCTGCGGATTCGGTGCTCAGCGGTGAGCGGCGGCCAGTGGCGGGGTTGCGGCAGGTGGCGGGGTTGCGGCCGACGGCGGAGGGTCGGTTCTGTGGGAGATTGGGTGCTGGCGGCGGCTCTTGGGTTGGGTGGCATTAGGGTTAGGGTTTTAATTAGGGTTATAATTAATTAGGGTTATAATTAAGTTATATAACCCCATAACCCATTAAGAAAGACCCGATCCAGTATGTAATGGACCCGACCCGCTACAGTAATAAATTGGATCCATTAAAATCTGACCTAACCCATTATGTAATGGGCCAGATCCATTAATTTCCAGACCCGACCCATTACAGTTTTGACCGGCCACTCATTTTGTTTTGGTTGCTACAGATCCGTTTTAAGTCCGTTTTGAGCCCATAAATAGTCGTTGGAAAGATCATTCTGTGTACTTTTCAACTACATAGTTTTTTATTTTCATTTTATAAAGTTTTAATACAGGAATTTGGACAATTCATAAAGATTATTGTATGCACATAAAGACAATTGATTTACCCTAATTATATCCTTAATTCAGGTGAGGTAAATATTTGGGTTCATGATAAAACGGATTATAGTATTAGATCAACCTATGGGGTTAAGGAAGATCAGTAAAACAGTCACTTAGAAATTATGGTAGAGTAGGTTAGTGTCTTGCCCAAAGGTGACCAACCTATAATACCCTAATTTTCTAAGGTTGAGTTTAGTCTCATTTGGACTGGTAGGTTGCACTTATCTGTGGGTGGACTACTAGTCTTGCCCAAAGGTGTCTAGGAAATCCCCTACAGGATAAGTGGTGCAGGATAGTTGAAACATGTCAGTGAGAGGAGAATAACCCTATTGCCCAAAGGTTAGGAAGTGTTCAAATCAAACTGACACTGTGTAGGCTAGTTCTGTAGGTGATTATATATCACATTTGGGGGGCGAATAGCATGTCAAATCACTTGCCCAAAGGTGTGATGAGATGATGCACCCGCCTGTCCCGCAGAGTGGAAGGTTGCATACGTAAAACACTCTGACCCATCCATTCTAACCCTAAATTGGATGTGGAAATATTAAAGTTAATTAAATTAAAGGTCTCATTTGATTTATATGTCCATGGTTTAATACAGATGGACGGACAGTTTATCCAGAAGCGGAATGAGGAATCCGTTAGAGCGAGCGGTGGACCAGACTATTCGTGGAGGGATTCCGGCTTGTGAAACTGCTAAGGAGTTGCTTGAGACCATCAAGAAGCAGTTTGAGGGATCCGTTAGAGCGAGACAGTACAATTATCTGGTCAAACTCATTAATCTGAAATATGATGGAAGTGGTGATGTTCGGCAACACATTTTGAAGGTCTCTCAGTTGATCATTCGTCTCAGGGAGTTGGGACTTCAGTTAGAGGATGATCTAATTGTTCATTTTGCAGTCGCTTCTCTACCAAGCAAATTTGACACTTTTAAGGTGAACTACAGTTCTCAAGACAGGAAATGGGACTTGAATGAGCTTATTGCTGTATGTGTTGCTGAGGAAGAGCGGCTAAAAACAGGAAAAGCTGATAAGGCAGGAAAGAAATCCTTCAAGTATCAAGGGCACAATAAGGGGAAGAAGTCTTTCGGTAATCTTTCAACTATTTCTAGCACTTCTTCAGCAAGTGAAAAAGTTGAATGTTTCTTCTGCAAGAAACCTGGTCATATGAAGAGAGACTGTCTGAAGTATAAGCAGTGGCTGAAGAAGAAGGGAGGGAATAATCCACAATCGGAAGGCAAGGACAAATGAACAACTGCTTTTGGGAAACTCACAGCCTTTGGAGGTGGAGCTCGTTGGGACTTTCAGTCTGCGCTTGGATTCTGGAGTTTCCTTAGTTTTATCAGACACTTTCTATGTACCTCCTATGAGAATGAATTTTATTTTAGTTTCTAGATTTTCTGAATCTGGTTATAGTTTTGTTTTTGAGAATAGTTTTGTTTCTATCAAAAATGGTTTGGATGTTATCAGACATGGTTTCTTAATTGACGGTCTTTATAGATTAAATCTGGATGCATCTCTTCTTTCCCCTCTCTGTATGTCTGTGAATTCATTTTCTTCTGGTACAAAGCGTCCTAGGATTAATAGTATTTCAGGAGTGAAGGTCTCCTTGACCTCATTCATACAGATATTTGTGGACCTTTCCATTCTCTCTCATAGTGGTCAGCGATACTTCATCTCCTTTATAGATAATTTTTTGCACTATGCCTATATTTTTCGTCTTCACCACAAATATGAGGCATTGGATGTTTTCAAGATCTTTCAAGCTGAAGTTGAAAAAACAATTAAAAAGAAAGATTAAATCTGTGCGTTCTGATCGAGGTGGGGAATTCTATGGTAAAAGCGATCAGGACGGCACAAATCATGGTCCTTTCATTGAGTACTTGAGGTCACAAGGCATTGTTCCTCAGTACACTCTCCCAGGTTCTCCGCAGCAAAATGGAGTAGCTGAAAGAAGAAATCGCACTTATCAAGATGTTGCTCGCAACATGATGAGTCATATGGCTTCCGAGAAAACCCTGTCGATCGCTGCATATACCTCAAAATCAGTGGGAGCCGATTCCTCATTCTAGTATTATATGTAGATGATATATTGCTTGCCAGCAGCAATATTCATCTCCTACATGAGACTAAAGTTTTTCTTTCGAGGCATTTTGATATGAAAGACCTCGGAGATGCTCATTATGTTTTGGGCATCAAGATCCATGGAGATCGAACTAAAGGCTTGTTGGGCTTATCTCAAAGGGTTTATATTGAGAAAGTCCTTCAACGATAGGGTATGAAATTTTGTGCACCAGGTGAAACCCCAGTTGTCAAAGGAGATACGTACAACATATCTCAATACCCCCGAAATGAAGTTGAGCGTAGGCTCGTGAACTCTGAGGAGTATGTCTCTGCAGTTGGCAGTCTAATGTATGCGGTGTCATGCATCATACCAGACATCAGTTATATCGTGGGAATATTAGGCAGGTTTCATCAAAATCCTGGTGTAGCTCATTGGAAAGCTGTAAAGAAGGTTTTGCGGTATTTGCAGAGGACCAAGGATTTCATGTTGGTCTACAGAAGGTCTGAAAATCTAGAAGTCGTTGGTTATTCAGATTCAGATTTCGCATGACGTGCTGATAGCAGAAAATCAACATCAGGTTATATATTTCTGCTCACTGGAGGAACAGTTTCCTAGAAAAGTGTCAAGCAGTCCTTAGTGACGACATCTACCATGTAGGCAGAGTATGGTGCTGTTTTTGAAGCAACATTGCATGCCTCTTGGCTCAAGAATTTCATCAGTGAACTAAAGGTGGTGGATTCCAT